TAAAACAATAACCATTGATAATTTCCTACCATTTTGTCTGTAATTTGGTAAGTCCCCCCTATTATTATGTTATCCTTCCTTTACTCTTTAAAAGAAAAAAAAAAAAAAAAGAAACTACAGAGCCAAACACCCGAGCAATGGCCACTCTATTTCCAAATGGAGATGAGCTTGGTTTTTCAGTATCATTTATCTTTTGAAGTCACAGCATGTCTTTTACATCTTCTCTTTTTACCTAATGTATCACAAAATTCAGCCCTGTTCTGGTACTTTAATGAACTGAACTATCCACTAAGTTGCTTACATTTTTCTATCTCTATAATCTGCATGACGTCAAACACAGTATGTCCCAATAACTATGTAGCTCTACCCTAACATACTTCAGGGTTTTTTTGGGGGGGTGAGAGGACTTCATTTTCATAATATTTGAAATTTATCTCCTTTAGGTAGTCATTCAAGATCAAATTCATCCATGTCTGTTACCTTGAGCCTACCACAAAAAAGGTACTATGCAACTCACTCCTATTGGCTTATTTATTCTTCAGTCTCACGTTTGTGTATGTTCTCTTTTCCTCTGGGGAAATAATTTCTTACACTCTTTTTGGTTCATACCACAGTAAGTTAAAATAGGATTTAACACGTAAAAGTGTGCTCAAAATACGGCTGCCTGGTACAAACATCTACAAAGTATACACAAACAGATTTTTACCATTGTGAAATAAGAAATACACACTAGTATGTAGCCTCTGGCTCTGGACACAGAACTCCTAAAATCCAGGTAGCTAAAAATGCTAAAATCTTTTGTTCAAATATTTGGTGTCTGACCCCAGTTCCTGATACAGAGGTCTTAAAACTTTTGTAATTTCCTAAATGTAAGGTATGACACAGAACTAAATTTCTTGAATCATCTGGGTATTTAGTCAGCTTTTTGTTCGAATGAGGCAACTGCTGGCAGACTATAAGTACAGAAAGCCAAAAATGAACCTTTTATTTTAACACAAAATACTTTTAAAATTCAGAAGATGGGAGGATTGCATACATCTGGAATCAGAGTCAAGGTGGAACTAAAACCACTTTCTGGATGAAAGTTCATTTAAGCTTGGCTGTTCCCCCAACCTCTGGAATCCTCCCCTGCTTAGCAAAGCGACATGACTGATCCTTTTCTCTTCCTCACAAAATGGTAGAATTTCACTCTCTAGAGAAGGTAAAATACAGGGCTGCTGCACTGGATATACATTACAGACTGACTCCCCCTTCCACACAAGCTGAAGTCACAACACCTACTACCTCAGAACGTGACTGTACTTGGAGATGGGGTCTTCTGAAAGGCAAGTAAGAAATAAAATCACTAGGGTGGCCCTATCTAATATTACTGGTGTCCTTGTAAGAAGGAAATGAGGACACAGAGGAAGACCACGCGAAAACACAGAGATAGCCAACTGTGCAAACCAAGGAGAGAGGCCTCAGAACAGACCAAGCTTGCCAACATCCTGATGTTGGACTTCTAGGCTCTAGTACCACAGAGAAAATAAATTTACATTGTAAGCCTCTCAGTCTACAGTAGTTTTGTGTAATTCCCTAACAAACTGTTATAGTCTTTTTATCTTAAAAAAGGAAATTATGGCTACCTCAGCCTTCTTTCCCCACAGTTTTCAAAAGGCTGAATGCAAGGAGATTATTCATTGTGCAGAGTTTGACAAACTACTGCAATCACACATTTCCCAAAGAAATGATCCAACTGCATAGTAATTATCACTGACAACAGCCACCCCTACATGCACAATTTCCAATCAGCTGAACTATAAGAAGACCATGAAGGACTAGCAAGCACTCAAAGAAAGCACCTAACAAGACAGACGGTAAAACAAACACAACAAACAAAACTGGGCATGGAGATCATTTCGGGTGAAGACAACTCTAAAACACTATCAGTAATTTTTAATGAAATAAGAGAAGCTAAAAAAAACAGGATAGTAAAACAATGGAACAAAAATTAAGAAAGTTGTTAGAAATTAAACTGAAGAGTAAATTGAAGAACTAAAAGGCACAGCTGAAGAAATGTCGAAAAAGGTAGGGAAAAAAAGACAAAATTAAAGAGAGAAAATAATTACACGACTGGCTATGGACATTCAATACAAAAATATGTCTAGAAAGCAAAAATAAAACACTGGGACAAAGGATGAGGACATGGTGTGAAGGACAAAAAAACAATCCACCTTATGGCCGATCACTGGGAGATTTCAAAGCACTTGGAACAAATCCTACCAGCTCTGTAAAATTTTATCAAATAGAGCATTTATACTACATATACCATGCTTTAATTATGGTTAAAAGCTTAAAAAAAGGAAATAAATATTTTGACTCTTTAGGAGTAAACTGAAAACTGGCTTGCTTGAGCAGAAAAATATTAAAACATGTCTTAAAGAGAAAAAAATCATATGTGCACATAAAGAATAACCACAAACGTGTTTGTTCATCTTTTGAAAAAAAAAAGCCCCCGAAGGAGTGATGGAGGAATGGTTGAACAATAGTCCAAGCACACGTGGGTTTCTCCATTCAAAGCAGTATTACCTGGTGACTTCCTTATACCTAAACACTCATAATAGAATCTAAAATTTAATCTCGGGGCTGGGGATTTAGCTCAGTGGCAAAAGCGCCTGCCTGGCAAGCGCAAGGTCATGAGTTCGGTTCCCGGTACCGGAGAAAAACCAAAAAATAAAAAATAAATTAAAAAAAAAAATTTAATCTCTTTGAAACAAAAAGAAAACACAAAAGATAACTATTAGATACAGTAACTCTTTTCAAACTTCCCAGAAGGAAATAAAAGAATCTTCTAAGCTCATTCCAAAGAATCCTTCCAAACCCAGAAAAATTCTGGCACTAATACAGCTATTTTATGAGTATACACATAACACAAAAAGCAAGAGCACAGCATACCTGCATCTTTCTTTGGGGTAAGTAAATTATGCCTCTCCAGGGGAAGACCAAGACATTTCCATGAAGTATGTTCTTTTTTTTTGAGGATAATCTCTATTTTTCCCACATTCTCCACAACTCGCACTGAAAGGAAGATAAATTACAGTTGTATAATTGATGTTACCTTGTAAATTTTCATCTTTAAGACCAATCTTTCTCAATCAAATAATCCTGATCTTTTACAATGACAATGATTACTGGTAGGAAAAGTGAAATTTTGCCCATATATTTATTAAAAGATTGATGTCATATATGATGTTAAACCCAATTTGTTTGGATTCTGAATTCCTTTCAAAATAATTTATCAAGGGCAAAACTAATATTTTTTGCTAGTTTTCATACAATCTTAAATACAGCTGTAACAACTAATCAACACACAGCGGGTGGGAGCCAGACATACACAAATTAGCACTGAATAAGCCAACGAAAGCAAATTTAACTTACTCCCCTTTTAACATTTCTTAATTGACATCTGAAGGGTTAAGAGTAAATTCAGTAGAAAAATACTGAGCTTGAGAATACAAGAACAGCCTCAGGTTCATCAGTCTCTAGTGAATATGGAATTAATGAATAAAGTACCTCTGAATCTTTGATAATTAATTAAAAACCTAGATTATCTTTTTCCTTTTTAAATGAGTAAACAGTTTAGACTATATGGGTATAGTAAAAAATACATTCTGTACACTGATTTAAGTTTTGTGAATTGAACATTCTTTTAAAGATACAAAACATTTCACTTTTTTAGAAACAACGTAACTGCTCCTCCTCAGAACCCAGAAACAATTCAGCAATTTTTAAAATACATCAGTCAAAGGAATTCAGTCCTTCGTGATCACTGTTCTAAAGCACAACCAAACTAAAACATGGTCCTTGACTTTATAAAGCTTTCCACATTACACAGAAAAGGAGAGGCATCGAAGCAGTGTAATTTGTGAGGATACCAGGGAATAATAAACTTCCATTCTATAGACACTTCTGTGTTAAACAGCTGTGTAAAATCCACACTGCACACATATATACAGCAACTGTCATAGTTTCAGTATGCTGTTAACATTAACCATTATAAATAAACACATCTAGGAAAAAAACTGTCTGGTCTAGTAGATATCTAAAGACTGTGTATCAGGAGGAGGGCCTAAGTGAAGAAGGAAGGAGAAATGGGAAGGATACAAGGGTTCTTATTTTCATATTTTTAAGAAAAGAAAAAGGAAAGTAAATGGATGAGAAGAACAAGGAGAAAGAAAAAAGGAAAAACAACAGAAATCGGGAGTATACTTTGAAATTAATGGATCTGTTTATATAGAAAACAGAAAACATCACACCTTTGTTTTAGAACACGAAAATATACATATGAAAAATAAAACAAATGGTGAGTTTTCTCTGGGTGTGTACATATGTTTGTGTGTGTGTATGTCTGTGTGCATGTGTTTGAGCACACCTACATATATAAATTTTTGGGACCTTACCAGAAAAATCTTCCTCAACCTCATGGCTTAGCGCTGGAATAGAAAAAAAAAACGTATTCTGTTAAAAATCTAAAATCAGTCTATAGTTTATGAATATCACATAAGATCATTTTTGTTTTTTTGTTTGTTTGTTTGTTTTGTTTTTCTTTCGGTACCAGGAATCGAACTCACACCTTGCGCTTGCAAGGCAGGCGCTGTGCCGCTGAGCTAAATCCCCAGGCCCAAGATCATTTTTTATAAGATCAGTTTTATATACTATTTCAAATCCTTCCAGACAGTGGACACATTCCAAGAAACTAAAAGAAATTATACATAAACAAAATTGAGAGTCAGACTATTTAACTATGTATTTCTTCCACTTTTTATTTATTTCCTTATCAACTGAAGAGTAAATACTTAACTCCCACAGGTCAATAACTCACGTCAGTCCAAGCACGGTCCCAGCACGACAGTGCTACAAAGCACAGAGTGAGTGGGCCCGGGTGGAAGCGGCACTGACACAGGCACACCCAGGAGATCGCACATGCACACGTGCACACAGGTCAGGCCTGAGCTTAGCCTATTTTTCTTCTTATTGTTCTTTAAAGCTAAGTGCCCAGTTATTTTCAAAATCTGTCTTGAGAATCTATGTGTACCAGCTACTTTGCAAGTATTATGAATACAAAGATTAGTAAGAGAAAATATGTCTCTGTCTTTACGGAACTTACATTCTAGCAATGGGAGATTTAAGAAATACTTTTACACATATCTGCTCTGGCTGGGCATGGTGGTGCACGCCTGCAATTCTAGCACTCGAGAGGCTGAGGCAAGAGGACTGTCGTGAGTTCAAGGCCAGCCTGGACTAACAGTAAATTCAAGATCAACCTGAACTATATAGTGAGACTTTTTCAAAAAACCAAAATGAAAGAGGGGAGGGGAGGGGAGGGGAGGGGAGGAGAGAAGGCCAAACAAATACCTGTTCTGAACTGCACATGGAACTTAGAACTTTGCATTAAACTTTCCAAAGCAGTATTTACAATTGGGAGTTTAATATTTCTGATTAAAACTTTTATTTGCTTTTTCATGTATATATGTTGGTTCCCCGTTTTCCCATTTTATTTGTCCTGCATGAGATGTACAAAGTGCGTGGACTACTGTATACTCAGCCAATTACATGTTTTTCCCTGTATGCTTGAACCCAACCAAAAGCCATGAATACAGTATTTCTAAAGACTGATTAAGGTATTTAAATTGTTGCCCCAAACAGAGGAAACTACTTTTAGTAAAAAGGTTTAAGGTTTGACATTGGTGAATCTAATGAATTGCAGCAGCACAGAGGGTGAGGCGGAATCAGTTTAGACCAAATTCAGAACTAAAGATACTTCATTAACGTAGCAAGGTGGTAGCAGAGACCGAAATCAACTGGAGTCTGGAGAATTTCAGCCTGTGGTTTGCAAGTTAACCAAAATTTTCTTTATGGAAACGTGCACGCTTAAACACCATAACTAAGACTATTTTCTTGTTAGCATTGTTTTGCTTGTGTGTTTGAGTGTGCTGCTCCTGCCTTTAATGAAAAAAACCACCATCACATCATAAAAGAAGAAAACAGTGGATCCTGAAGTGGGGTTCATTGTAGGTGAGAACTGGATTAAAGTGCTGTATCTTTGATTCCAGATTTTAGCTCTGATTTCTCTATTCTGATAGATTTGTAATTTTTCAGAGCTGACAAAAGTGAATGAGCCAGCTGGCTTGGACCACGAGGGGAGAAGACAAGGGACATGGCACCGACCTGAGGCCCAGGCTGTTCTGTGGCCGTCTCAGACTTCCTACTGCAGAGCTGGCAAGACACAGGCCAGTGGAGTGGGCCACCAAGTGATGGCTGCTCAGTACGAACATGGGCCACCAGAGATGTGCTAAGTGTTAAGTACAAGAAACCTACAACCGTGGCCCAACAAATTCATTACTGATTCTGATCGTATCTAATTGCTTTAACTTGCTAAGATCACTCTGCCATTTGCTAGCTCTTGTATTAATATAAAGAAATCAATATGAAAAACTGATCAAAAATGACAAAACAAAGTGAAAACTGTAGATAAAATATTATAGTGCTTGCCATAATTACAGGCATTCCAATAATAAAAATAAGGTACTCACCAATATGTACAAGATATGAATAATCCTTGATAATTGTTTCTGCTCTAAAGGAATCACCTTGATGATCAACTATTACTGAATCTAAACTGATATCCTTAAACAGAAAGCAAAGCAAAGTTAGAAAAATTAAAAAGTAAAATTTTCCCTAAATTTCCACAACTTTACCTTTAAGGTGATCAGTGTAAGTTCACATGGTACTATTTCATTGAACCCTGAAGCTAAATAGATGTATGTTAGTCCTGTTTTATTTCTCTCACACAAACTAGTTCTTCTTCAAAGTACTTCTTATAATTTTTTATATCTGTTTAATATCACCTCACCCAGTAGTCTCTAAGCTATAAGTTAAGGGACTAGATTACCTTTAAAGCATTGCTTGGCATGTAGGAGATATCAATACATATTTGGTGAATAAGCAATATGGCAAAAAAGTATAATCAGACTAAAAACCAAGATTTTGTGTTTATTTATTTTAATTATCTCTCTATTATGTGATACTGGAGAAATTGCATAGCCGTTCAACGTCAGCTTACAAAAAAATTAACTCACTAACAAATTTTAGATGTCTCTAATTTCTATATTGTCTTGATGAAGGCATTTTGGTACCTATCATTTACAACATACATGAAATGCATTATTCTCCATGGAAAACTCCCTTAGCCAGCTATCTTTGATGGCCCCTTCTACCACCTTCTAGAAGCTAGTTAGCTACGTTCTACTATTACCAGTGGGAGTGGACCCTAGCCTTCCTAGATCCCACGTTTTCCTTCAGGATATCTGATGAGAAGACAATAGTAACAAGTAGAAGGCAGCCAAGCAGTCTCTCTGGCCCTCTTGGTTGTATCAGGCAAAGGCTGGTCACCTCTACAGAATGGTCAAATCATGCTACAAGAGTCATAGGAACTCATGGGCTTGGGTATGATTCTGCTACCACATAAGTAGTGTAAATTCTCTAAATACCTAGCTATCAAAATTTGTCTTTTTACATGTAAGAACCTCAACAGTGATTGAAGATGTGTTTAGAGATACTCTAAATTATCTGATTATTTATCCAATTTCCCAGCTGAACTGTGAGCTCTGTGAAAGCCAGTTCTCTATATATCTGATCCTGACAGTACCTCATATAAAAAAGGTGTTACACAAACATTTACTGAATGAATTATTTTGCTTACTTAAGTTTACAAAACGGGCTCTGAACACCATTAGTAGGTTAAACATACTGAGCCACAGCAGTGCCATCTTTTTTATCCACATTTATATTCCACAAAATTTATTCTGATGATGCTATGATTCAATTTTCTCACCCATGTTTAAAAAAAAAAAAAAAAACAGAGAAGCAAACTAAATACCTTCTAGTCTAGTTCAATAGTCCATAGCATGCTCGGTAAGAATATACCAGGAAGGAGTAGGACTGCCATGGTTCCAAACACTAGTGCTACTTTGGGTAAATTATTTAATCTTTCTGCTTTGTGTATGAACTAGAGATAATAGTATCCATGTCACAGAGTTGTAAGGAATAAATGTAAGAAAAGTGCTTAAAAAAGGACTTGACAGGACACACGACTAACATTTTATTAACATTTATAAAGTATTCACTTTTTTCCAGATTTTTAATGATATGTTTACCTTTTGTTTAGTATATATGACAATGGTGACTGAAGAGTCTGTTTGAAACCAATCATAGCTGTAAAATATTAAAAAGAGAACAAATAATTATATTGACGGTGTGCATTCACACATATAAGAGCAATAACAGAATATAGCACATTTTTCTAAGAACAGAGTAATATATACTGGTGGGAAAGGACAGTAAGATAAAGAACTATAAAGAAAACATATAATTCTGAAGGTATTTGAAGTATCATTAGCAAAAATATATATGCATTACTAAATTTGGTGTTAACTATTTAAGATAATTGGTGTTCAATACATTTTGAAACATTTTCATTAAAATTTATATAAAGAAACCAGATATATAAAAATTGAATAGCTAAATGAATTTATAGACCAGTCATATGATGAAATGCAACATAATGCTTGCACTGAGTATGTACTAAACAGAAAATTGCTCACAGAAGAATATACTGCAATGTCAGTATTATAAAAAATCGTATAATGTGGACACAGATATGTAATTCCAATGTTAAGAGTATATTTCTAAAATTAGTGAGCCACATGCTTTTATCACATCCTTTTGTATTTCTTTGTATTTTCTAAGTTTTCTATGATGAATGTGTATTTTTTTACAATGAGAAAAAATTTCAAATAATTTTTTAAAATAATTTTTTAAAATGTTGGTGTTTAAAATGGATCAAATTCAGTTACATTCCAATTCACATTTACAGAACAGCTCATTCTCCAACATCTGATAATGGAAAACTATATAATAATACAGTTCACGTGTCAAAAAAGAATGATTAACAATCATCAAAGCTAGAGCTGGTTTCTTTTCTTAAATGTGTATAATTTTGTACAGAAATGACAGCTTTAAAAAAGTAAAACAAGAATACATACCTTGGAGAATTAAGACCTTCTTTGGTAAGTGTGTCTGTCACTTGGGTCTTGGAAAGCAAACCTTCACAAATAAACAACAAAATAGCAATAATTCAACTACAAAGCATTTAACTTTTTTTCAATCTTTTCAGTTAACTTCTTGAGCTATTATATACATACATAAAAGTGCATAATTATAAATGTAGTACACAATGAATTTTCATAAAGTCAAACATGAACTCTTGTACCCAACACCCTCTCTGTGCCCCTCCCCCAAAGATATCCAGAGTTATGATTTCTAACACTATGATTAGTTTCTACCTATGTTTCACCTTCATATGGAAGAAATCATAAAATATATTCCTTTTGACCTGGGCTTTCTGCTCAACATTATAGACATTACAATTTTGGGGGGGCAAGTAAGCATGGTTGACAGTAGCAATAAACCAAACCAATAACTTCCTGAGATTTTATCAGTGTTTTTTAATGCATCACAAATTTGTTGTTTTTTATTACTGAGTAGTATTATACCATACGAATACATAATTTATTCATTCTATTGATGGGCATCTGGGCTCTTCCAGTTTCAAGCTATTATACATAATGCTATTATAAATATTCTTGTATATGCACATGTACATTCTTAACACAGATGCACACTGCTGGTGGGTATGTAGGGTTTTAGCTTTAGAAGACACTCTTCGAAATGGTTGTACTAATTTATACTTCTATGCCAGTGTTTGAGAGTTCCAGTTGCTCTACCACCTCACCAACATATGATATTTCTTGGAACATTTTACTCATTCTTGCAAATCTGCATCAACACAGCATTTTAAAAGCCCACTGAAACTGATTTTACAGTCATCTCAGAAAGCTCAGAGACATGGAAAAACTCTGAAAAAATCAATTTCTGAAACATTAATTTCTTCCCATCACAGAAGCACATTATTTGTACCTGTAAGACTTTTTTTGGAAAAAAAGTACTGCTACTGAATGACATTTGAAGGTCAATACATTAATTATATTATTTCAAAAAATTAATGGTTAGACCAGTAGGTGTTAAGAGTTCTCAAATTAGAAGTCAAATTAATTATATAAAATTAAGAGTTTGGAGACACTGTAGAGACAAGCTAGCTCAGAGGTTCTTCAGGCTTTTTTTTTTAAGTCATAGAATCCTTAGGTTACACACAAGCTTAGGTGCAATCACAGGTATATTTTTCAGAATGAGGCTGAGGGTGAGGCTGAGCCTAGGCCTTACTCATCCCCTTCTCTCTCTTCCCAGTAACTGCAGAGCACACTGAGTTTTCAGACAAACAAAGGAAGCCTCAGAGGTGTCACAACAGGACCAGAGGTACGAACTAACTAGCAGCAGACTCTAAAAGAACAGTGTTTACTACAAACTATGGGTATAATAAGACCAAAGACTAAAAGAATTTTTTTCCTAAAATGGTAATAGCACAAAAGATGACTATTAAATTATCTGAGAAATATTGAAAAATATTTTATTAAGAGATTAATGTCATTTCTCTTTTGGAAGTGTGTTAGGTATATAAATAACACATGCATCAAAATCTAAAAATTTCTGTAAGAAAAAGGCATCAACAGAACTCACAAATTTTAAGTCAGTGTTGATCTTGTATGACTTGATTAGGACCAGAATGTCTGGACTTAAGTTCAGTGTTTGCACTGAAAACTTATGCAAACCACTATTTCTTCTTCAAACCTTACAAAAGCATAAATGAGACAACTTCCAGACATTTTTTTTTAAAAACCTACACATTATAAAATATAATTTACTAGAACAAAATAATGTCATATGCTATAGAATGTGTCTTGATTTCATAATTTATAAAAAGAAAATCAAAGAAACAAACTTTATATTTTTCTGGGTAAGGTGAAAGAACGTGGAATAAATATGAGATGGCATAAAATAAGTAAGGTGGACTAAATGAATGTTCTTGCGAAAGTGCAGACTGACTGACTGATACCAATTTGAAGGGATTAAGTCTCTAGTGGAGTACAAAAATACAAAAGTGGTCTATCCCACTCAGTATTTTACGCAGCTGTTGGAACAATGATAGAAAGCAAACAGATCACATCTGCAAAAAGACTTAGCACACAGACGTAAGTGAGTCAAATGTAAACTGCTGCTAACAAATACATATATTCCAGCCCTTCAGGATCCAAGTTACAGGAAGTAACAATGCTAGCCAGATCACTGCGGTGTGCTGAAATCCATTTTTAAGACCACCTCTAACTGAGATACTAAATGCAGTGTATAAAGGAGGGTGAACAGGAGAGTAAAGGTTCTGGAAGGCACATGTGGTGGGGACAATGTCCAACCCACTAGTAATAAGCAATGACTGTTTTCACAGTATTGCAGAAGAATCAATGTAAGGTGAAACCTGAGGTCAGGCTTTTGGTTAATGCAGTGTTAATCCGACAATTTCAGGTATATCCTAAAGTATTCTACAACACAGACCATTTCTTTCATCAAAAAAGATATGGTAACTCATCTGGCCATCCAGCTGTGAGCTGCATTTCTGTAACTTTCTTTTTAGAATCTATCTCTAAATGTACAATAATACAGTTCAGTCAGAGGAGCCTCAGGCATTTCATAAGTTAGTACTGACCAGTACCTCAAATTTGGGAGGAGCGGAACAATGTCAGTCGTAATTCCAAGTCACACCGCACGGCTGAGGAAGCCAGTGCTGCTCGGCCCAGGAGAGCACATGAACACACCCCTCAGCCTCTGCGCACCAACACAGCTCAGCGCACCTGCCTGAGACAGACGACCTGTCCAGTCTTGTTTAATCACTAGAGTCAGTCACGCTTTGGGCAAATGAACGTGTGCTTAGCCATGTCACAGAAGGGATTATTTAAGAGTATGGGTGGGATAAGGGGCCCACAAACTTCTGTCATCCTCTGCGTTTGGGCAAGTAAAGATATCTTTCGTGTTAAAAAAATCTAAATACCTCAGACAATACTGTGAAGAAATTTTTATTACAAATTAAGATGACTTACCATTTAAGACTCTCTTTTCTCCGCCATAGTCTGTATAGTGATTTGGGGAAAAAAATCAGTTAAGAATACGATAAAGTCAAAGAGGGTATCAGAACATTTTACTGCTTTAACCACATTAGCCCCTCCTTGAAGGGCCTTCTAATGTCTGAGAATACAACTGACAGCCTTTGATTCAAAGAGTAAGTTTCATCTCTGAAAATTCTCATGTTATTTCTCCAGGTGTTTCACTCTCATTTCACTGGGTTTTTCCTACTTCTTTGGATTACCTCTTTGAGATTTTTTTTCTAATATTTTTGTTAATCTCTCCCACTCTCACCCCAGTACTGGTACTAAACAGAGGGTCTTGGGAATGCTACACAAGAGCTTAACACTGAGCTAAAGACCCTCAGTTAATCTCTTTAGAAAGCATATAAACCCCAACTTTTGCCAGGACATCATATTCTAAATTAATATAAAGTAAACAGAATTTATTAGATTATAAAACAGAACACACATGTCAACACCCCAACAAGAAGATATTATCTCCCTCTTTTATTGACATTAGCACTTAAAAATCAACATTGTTACTATAAGTTTAACATAGCTAAAAGATGAAAATATATATATTCATGAATATATATATTCATTTTATATATATTGTTTTTCATTCATCAGTTAAGGCCTAGGGAAAAAAATGACAGATATTTTCAGGATGGCAGCAAATTCACAAAGTTATAGTACATTTAATAACCACAAATGTTATACCATTATGGTCAGAACAAATTCCAGCAAGCTGTTAGAATAAAAAAAAAACTTAAAAAGGATAATAAGCTAACATAAAATATGTAAGTAATTAAACTGAAAGACACTACTTGTTAACATTTATCATCTTTATAGGACAAGAAAGTAATGTACTTAAAGCTTTTAAATTTTTTGTATCCTATTTTCTAATCACTCGAAATTCTGTAATTACCTCTACTTCACTCATCCATCACAAAATAATCACATTTAAGGAGACCAGATGACCATCTTTTCATTTTCTCCATTTTACCAAAATTTTATAATTAAAAGGGATCTTAATATAGTACAAGTTATCATCCAATCCTCTCACTTAAGAATGAAAATGATGCCGGGTGTGGTGGCACACGCCTGTAATTCCAGCACTCAGGAGGCTGAGGCAGGAGGATGGTCGTTAGTTCGAGACCAGCCTGGGCTACAGAGTGAGCTCAAGGCCAGTCTGAATGGCATAGCGAGATCCTGTCTCAAACAGACCCCCGCCGCAAAAAAAGGAATGAAAATGGTAAGATCCCGTCATGTAGAGACAACAGTATTCGCCCTGGAAGGTGCTGAAGGAGACCCTGGGAAGCAGAGGTACTTGGAAATGGGGGATGAACAAAGACCCAAATATGAGAGGGCAATCTGAAGCCCCCAGATGAATTCCAGTATCAAGGATATGGAGAAAAAGAAGCAGGGCCAGCCTCTGATATGCTGCATTTACAAGAAGCCATCATGGAAAAATATCTAACCAAGGGGAAAAGCCTCGTATAGCAGCAGCACCCGGGCTGCTACAACTAGCGCCCAGCCTGCAGCCAGTGTCTCGTGCCCTCCTGCCCTAACTTCCTCCTCACCGGGGGAGAAGGAGCCTAGCAAGGGAGACGGTCACAGATCAGGGCCCTAGACAAGTGAAGGCCAGAAAGTCATTTAGAGGGCAGTGACTGCAAGGGGACTGGTGAGCTCGTGGGAAAGAAAGGACCCTTGGTAGGGACCTGGAACTAGACACAGTGAGCCACAGTTCAGCGAGCTGAAGGGCCAGGCAGCAGTTGCGGCTGTATGACCCAGGGAAGGAGGAAAGGCGCTCACGCGTGCCAAAGTAGGCAGTCTCTCATCACTCCCCGAAACACCACTGAGGTCTGTGTTTGTGGGATATCCTACCTGCTGCCTGCCCTACAGATACCGCAGAACTCTGCGCACACGGGAACACCCCCACTGCCAGCCAAAGCTCCTGAGTGTGAGGTACCACTGACTGATGGGCTGAACAGTGACTCTCTGTGGGGTGTGGACAGAGTTTGGCACAAGGCA